CATTTCAGATTTTCGAGGTCAAAAAGTCAGTGGGGAGCAATTCCATGATGTTGAAGCGAAAGACTTGGAAGTTAAAAGTCTCTATTCGATAGAAATAAAAAGAAGTGGAGACCACTGTAGCCAATAGGCCTTCAACACATTGCATACCTGTAATCTAGGTAACCCCACCAGATCACAGTCAGATGATTTTGATCTCCCATTGTTTTAGGAAAAGGCACAAGAAGTTGCAGGGTACACAGAATTAGCAAATTTGTTTCTTATGAGTCCCTATTCTCCTTCCTATCATGCTTTTATGTTTTGTGTCTTGTATTTATATTCCTTCCCGTGTTATATAAGCTTCAGCTCATCCCAAGTGGAAAGATGCTATGCACGAGGACTTGAGGGCATTAATCAAGAATGGTACTCGAGAGATAGAAAAAGCCTCCTAAGCAAAAGATGTTGGTTGGTTGCAAATGGGCTTATGCTATAAAGAATAAGGTTGATGGCAATTGTGCAAGGGGTTCACTCAGTCTTATGGTACAGACAATTAGAAAAACATTTGCTCCTATACCTCCTTTTGTCACTCAGTCTTATGGTATAGACAATTAGAAAAACACTTGCTCCTATAGCTCAAATGACCTCCATTCGGGTCCTTTTGTCTTTGGCAGGTAACTTAGAGTGGCCATTGCCCCAACTCTATGTCAAAAACACGTTCCTTTGCGGGGAACTACCAGAAGAAGTGTGCATGGTACCTCCACCTGGATTTTGGGCTCTTGGACATGACAGAAAAGCTTGTAGATTGAGAAAGGCCATTTGTGGACTAAAGCAGTCACCCCAAGCTCGTTTGAGAGGTTTAGAGGGGTGGTCCAAAGAATTGAGTGTACTCGAAGTCATCCTGGCATACCTTATTTGTGAAACATACTAAGATGATTACTACTGCTCTGGGTGATATTGTTGTAACAGGTTATTGTCCTAAAGAACTCAAGGGCTTTTTGGCAAGGAAATTAAAGATCTAGGCCCATAAGTATTTTCTTGGGACAGAGGTGGCTGGGTCTGAAAGAGTAGTCTTTATCTTCTAAGTATATGTTGGAGCTCGTCAAGAATACAGAAAGCTTGGTCCAAACTAAACCACAAACTTGATAACCATAGGGGTGAAGTTCTCAAAGATGTGAGAATGGTTCAAAGGTTAGTGGGTAGAAAGTAGATTGATATATGTCCAGACATTGGATATGTTGTGAGTGAGATTAGTCCATTCATGCATACAGCACAAACTACTCACCCTGACCTAAAATCATCACCAGGTAGAGGACTATTGTGTGCTAATCGTGGGCACTTGCGAGTTGACGCTTATACATACACAGATTGGGCTAGTTGTATTATGGATCTATTGTACATTTGCTGGGGGTACCTTTTGATTTGGAGAAGTAAAAAACAAGGGAAAAAGACATTAAGAACCCCACCCAAAAAACAAATCCAAAAATTAAAATTACAGCACCATCTACACCCTCAGGTCCACAAGAAGCCTGTTGGCCCCTACCCCTACACCCCGAAAAAATTAAAAAATAAAAAAGGGTCAAAGAACCTGTGAGCTCCTTTTTGACATTTTCTTACCCAAAACAGCCCTTAAATTTTCACTTACCCTACCCCATCCAAATCACTTTCCTTTTGAATCCCATCATTTTCTCCCTCTCCAATGGACCTTCCTTTCTCTCTCTAACCCCGGTGAGACTTCCCCTTCCTCTCTCTCTCTTGTAAACCTTCCCTCCTCTCTCTCCCCCCTCCATGAACCACTCCTCTCTCTCTCCCTCCTTTCTCCATCTCTCCCCCTCTAAATAGTGCACCCAATCTTCGCCCAGGCTGCCATCTCTCTCATCCCAAGGTGCAACAGAAAAAATGGTATTAAGAAAAGGAAACCTAGACCCAACACCCTAATTTTTGAACAAAAAAGAGAAGAGAAGCATACCTGGAAAAAGGCCACATCAGTTGTGTACTCTCTCTCTCTTTAACAGCACATACTTGAAATTTGGGAAGGAAGAGAGAGAGAGAGAGAGAGAGAGAGAGAAAGAGAGAGAAAGAAGCAGTAGCTACACCTAGGTGGATAGAGAGATGGCTGACCTGCTGCATCTTTGGCCGAGAAAGATGACAGCTTGGGCAAAGATTGGATGCATTCTTTGGGGGGAAAAGAGAGAAGGGGGAGGGGGGTGGGGGGGGGGAGAGAGGAAGAGAAAGAGGGGAAGAAGTGAGAAATTAAGGGCAGATTTGGGTATGAAAATGTCAAAAAGGGGCTGAGCAGGTTCTTTGACCCTTATTCTAAACTTTGGGGCAGTCCACAGACTTCCCGTGGACCCGAGGGTCTATATGGCTCTATACTTTTAATTGGGTGGGTATACATCTTTTCTCCAAAAAACAATTAGTTATAGCCTGTCAAGTAGAAGCAAAGTATCGATCCAAAGCCCATGGTGCGCGCAAATTACTCTGGCTGAAATTTCCATTACGAGTGTTTGGTTTTCTTGTGATGTGGCCCCTGTCCTTGTATCGAGATAACAGGGTTGCAAATAGTACAGTTCACAATCCCGTCCAGCTTAGTCAAATTAAGCAAAGAGAGGTAGACCGAATGTCATTCGAGAAAGAGTTTCTACAAGAGAAATTTTCCTTCCATATTTGAAAACAGACAACCAGTTAGCAGACATTCTTCCTAAGGCCATTGGGAAACATAGAGTACAAGTGATCTTGAGCCAGTTGGACATGATTGATATCCATGCACTAGCTTGAGGGGGAGTGTCATGAATATTAAAGTTTATACTCGTTTGCCCCCTACTCGTTTTCATTGATAAGAAGCGAAAGATTACAATATAGAAGTTGCTACAGCTCTCTCGTAAGAAGTACTTGCAGCATCATTTAGAAGAGATAAGGATAGGAAATCCGGGGGCAAGCCCTCCAAATGGTGGCTTCTGAGAGTGTCGCTGCCCTCTCAGCCAAACAATCCGTAACCATGAACGATTCTTGATGAGGTTGTGACATCTCCCATTTTTTTACTTGTTAAGGATAGCATGTGACAGCAGTTGAAAGTGAGAGCGTGTGGGCTCCATGGGGGATGGAAATGGCCCCGAATAAACTCCACCAAGACTTAGCGATCGCTTTCAATAAGTAATGGGAAGCACTGAATTGGAATGGCCAATTGGACCCTTGCTTCTAAGGCATTGAATTCAGCAAAATTATTAGGAGCAGTTCCAAGTGGTATAGCAAAAGCTCCGGGGTTTTGAAAAGGCACCCCATCACCATGAGAGTTGCACAGGAGAGCAAGTCAACTGTGGGTTCCATGGGATTTTAAGGTTCTATAGGATGGTTTTTTCCAATGGATGGAAGGACCAACATTTTGTAGCTAGTTCTTTGACATGGAGGGTTATCTGAGTGAGCTGCATCTCACGTCTGGAGGATTTGCCTTCAAAATCGCTGGTTGCATTCAGCCTAGAGGAACCAGATGGTAGATGTGAAGAAGGCGATCCACACATTTTTTAAGCCTGTAGACCTGAAGCGAAATTTAATCCACCAAGAGATAATCACCAGGGAGGAATGTTCAGGGGCCATCAGTTTTCCACACCACCAAGCAATAGATATCCATAATGCCTACGAAAAAAACTCATCAGAATAATAAATGGGTAGTGTCTTGTCCTGCCCCAAGGCAGAGTGGGTATCTAGAAGCCATGGTAATTCCTTTAGTTTGGAGCACAATCATAGTGGGAAGGCATTGATGAAGAGCCAACTAGAAGAACCAAATCTAGGATGAGAACGCAAAGCCCATAAGGACTTAAAGATAGGGAACTTCTAATAAATTCCCAAATTAAGTGAGAAACAGCCATGGAAACATGGATGCACCAAAAAATCCTCTGCCATTGCATAGGCAATGTATATGCTTTTATCTCCTCCCAAACATGGTGAGAAGATCAAATGCATAGGTAAGAGGACCAAATGTGGTTATAGGGGATTTCCAGGTTTGAAAGAGACCATGCAAATAATCAACCACTTTGGTTTTGGCGAGCATCCGTGAAACGCTATCATTATGAGCACCTAAAGAGTCCTGAGTTGAGAGCTCTGAAAGCCATGGATCAACCCAGAAGTATAGTAGAGTGCCATCTCCAATGACCCTTCCGACATTACCTGAAGTTAATACCTTTCTTAATGCCTTTCCAAGAGTATGAGCAAATTTTATTGTTGGCGGCCCAGATCAATGAGCTGCAAAAGTACCAATGCTTGAAAAATCTGGCCACCAAAGATGAGGGATTCACTATTATCCTTTAGGCGAGCTTCATCATGCCAGCCTGATTAAAGTCTGCAATGCTACGAATACCCAGCCCCCCTTCATTAAAGGGAAGATGTATAGTTTTCCAAATGAAGAGGTGGAGACCTTTCTGCTCTATTACACCTACCCAAAGATAATTATGTTATATCATACCTATCATGTGACAAGTTCTCATTGGGAGCAGGAAGGATGAAGTATAGTAAATGGAGAACGCAACCAGAACAAATTTAAGCAGCTACAGACGAACCTGCAAAAGAAAGAGACAATGCCTGCAAGCACACTTTCCAAATAATTTTGCCAATTTGAGATAGTGAGATTATGACAATGTGAAAGGGAGCCTTAAAACAGTTGGAGACCTAGATATTTCAGAGGCAAGGCCCCTCCCCAAGCCAAAGGATTTCCAAAATGTAAGCATTGAGTCCAATATTTACCCCAACGAATAACACCTTGCTTTTGGTCCCATTTAGTTGTTGGCCCGTGGCATTGCAAAATACATCCATAACATTTTTAACAGTGGTAGCAGGGTAGGTAGAGGCCTCACAAAAAATTAAAGCATCATCGACATAAAGTAAGTGATTAACCTTAAAATCGCATATAGAGGGAAAAGCCTTAACGAGAGGATCGTTAGATAATTTTGCATCCAATATTCTGCTCAAGTAGTCCATAACCAAGAGAAAGAGATAAGGGGATTGTGGGTCACCTTGACGTAGACCCCGCTTACCTTTAAAGAACATTTCATAAGACTGAGAAGCGGGGAGTGGAAACACAATGCCGAACTCAAGAGACCAAAAGTTAAGTGAAACCCAGGGCCTCCAGCCTATCAGGAATAAAACACCAAGAGACACGGTCATAAGCAGTACGAAGATCAAGCTGTAAACACATTTTCACTCTGTGAAGACTTATGATACAGAGATGTTAATTCGTTTGGGCTAAGGATATTATCAGTGATAATACAACCCTTCAAGAACACCATTTGTTAGGGACAGATTAGATCATTTAAGACCATGCACAATCTATTAGCAATGACTTTGCTAAAACACATTACACAGCTAGATAGCACTAAATTCTTCCATATGGCGGGTGAATTAACTTTAGGGATGAGGGATGATGCATATGAAAGTGGAGTTAATCTCTTTTACAAACTTACCTCATTTGAAGAAGTCAGAAAGAGCCAAAGGAGGTCTTCCTTAATAACTTCCCAGCTGAACTTGTAAAATTCAACATCGAAACCAGCTAGCCCAGGGGCACTTTCACTTGTCATACCCCAGATACACTCTTTGATTTCCTTGAACGAAACCTGTTTCATTAAATCATTATGTTGCATTTCAGAGATCTTTGGTCCAAGTAAGAAGTCATAAGCTGAGGAAGCCTCACTTTTGGATTCCAAGTCAGAATCAAGGGCCAACATATCTTTGAAATGGGAACCACATGGTGCTCAATTTCTGCATCAACAGTTATTAAGATGACCAACAAGGTCCTTGAGATACAATATTCTATCATTTCTTCACTTCACCACAATGGATAAATGGAAAACTTTGGTACTTGAGTCACTCTCCTTTAGCCAAAGCGCTCTGGAGTTTTGTCTCCACATACTCTCCTCCTGACTAAGAAATAGCTGCAATTGAGAGTGCACTCTTTTTCTTCCTGAACATGACTTCTTATATGGATCATGCACAATATGGTTATGCAATTCCGAAAGCCAAACTCTCGTCTTCCTGATGTTTTCATTTATATGCCCAAAACACATTTTGTTCCCATTAGACAAATCAGCCCCTACTCTCTTCAGTTTAGTTACAAATTTGATCATGGATGTACTGCTGACTTTTCCTTGCCATAAGTCCGTGATCAAATCGACAAAATTTGGGTAACTTTGCCAAAATATAAAATATTTAAAAGGGCCTAGATTCCACAAGATGAATAGAAGAAGGGCTAACCATGGCAGGACAATGGTCTAATGATCCTTTGAGTAACAGTTCCATCTTAGATTCAGGGAACATAAAAATCCATTCTAAAATAGCGACTACCCAATCCAGACGTTCACATATGACCGAGGTTCTCCCTGGCTATTAGACCAAGAAAACCAACCTCTAGATGATTCAAGTCTATAAGTTTGCAATCGGAGAACATTTATTGTTGTTGGAGACTTCCCCATTATCATCAGATCGAGAGAAGGTAATGGCCCTCCCGATTGGTGTTCAGCTATGATCTGTCAAGAGATTTTGGATCCACATAGGGCCAGATTTGTACAGGGGACCCAACCTATCTCAAAGAAGCCACCTTGGCATCGTCATGAAGATCACCTCATTTTGCACATTTGAAACTTTTTCAATAAGCTTACTTATCATAAAAGAAAAAATTTATCACATACATTATTCAGTAACTCATAGTGTGCGTATGATTTAAGATGTGCTAGAGCTAGAAACGCCCAGGGAAAGCTATGAACACTTCGGGAACATGGCATCGTGCCTTAATTTGAGAAAGGACCCTATTTTCCTTGAGTTAGCTATTTATGTAGTTACTATTTAAACTCTCCGTGAAGTATAACCAATAGAAACTTAAAAAAGCATAAAAGTACAAATAAATAAAAGAATGGAAAAGTACCAGGGGAGACGGGTTGGTTAAAGGTATCTACATGCGATAAACAAGATCTTTATGAGAGACTCAAAGAAATATTGATATGAGATGTCTTTTTCATATTTCAAATGACTGATGCTTCTGCGAATATGCAATATATAAAGCTTAAACAAAATTCATGTCATACTCAAATATCAAGGATGGTTTATGTTTCATTTGATTTCGAAATGAACTTTATGGTGTTCAATGGATAACTGTTGTGACCTTCTGTATGTTTCTGTGATTGTCAGAAAACGCTATCTATGTACTATTTATTTTCAAGTCACTGTATTGTCCCTATTCACGAGCATATCACATCTGAAACCTGTTTATCACAAATGGATAAAGGGTATGAATCAACTGACAAAGTATTATTCCAGCAGCATAGAGCCCAAATCCAAGCAAGATACAATTATCAAGGACAGAGCATACGAGATAATATACAAAAAGCACATTCCTGTCAAAATACAGATTACTATCATTCTGAATCCAATCAATCCAGCACTTACAGTTAATCCCAGTTGAGCATGTACAGTCAAATCTCGATATTTGGCACTTAGGGTAATATGTTCATTCCAGTAGTATGGTTGGGCCCCAGATTCCAACCTAATACATGAAAGTTTCAAGCAATCAGCATAGAGCCCGACCAAAGTAAGTACAAGTACAAACAAGAGAAAGAGAGAGAGAGAGAGAGAGAGAGAGAGAGAGAGAGAGAGAGAGAGAGAGAGAGAGGAGATATACTATTAGTTAACGTAACGTAACGTAACTAACGTAACGTAACTAACTAAACTAAACTAAACGTAACTAACTACTACGTACGTACGTACGTTAC